GAAAATTTCCCTAAATTAGAAAACAACGCCATTTTCGGGTCTCTCTACGCACAGGAAATGCTGTAAAATTATGCCCGCAGAGGTTTAAGCAGTCCCTTTGGAAACAATGCCCCGTGAGCGCTGCTCTTCTCCGCTTTCAGGTGCACTCCAGATGGCCGGAAATGTGGCTCCGCTTGGCGATGACAGGTCAGCCTGCTGTGGCGATGACACTGCCACTTAATACGCCATTGTTGGGGCCCCATCTGCGGGTTATGAGCCGCACTCGGAAAATTACGCAGCACAAATTAGCCAGGAGGCCATTGTTTGGTCGCGGCAGGGCAGAAGGATTCGCCGATTCGACAGATTCGCCTAGGTGAATGTAATTTGATTGCTTGGATTATAATAATAAATATGTTTTATTTATGGCCACTCTGGCAGTCCATCAGAGCCACTCGGCCCGGATGAGTGCTGCCCGAGCAGCGTCCATTTGTTGCGTGCTTCAAACCCGACTGCTTCGATTGATTGCATAACAATAAATTATGCAACGCATCATGATGCTGTTGCTGAAGTTGCTGCTCCTCCTCTGGGCAGGTCCTGGACAAGGACCAGTCCGCCTGCCATTCACTTTTAAGTTTCAAGTGCTGCTGCGGGTGAGTGCTTTTAATATTCATCTAATGCACTCGACGCCCTGTTATACTGCTGATGGGTATTTCGGAGAATACTCGACCTTCTTACATTCTGATTTCTAGGTATACTTGGTAAAGGTTGTACGAAAATTTCAGATACTTCTGGAAGTGATAAGTGATAGTGAAGCCTTGTGAATTTCAATTATGTTCTTATAAATAAATGGTTTTCTGAAAATTTTAGATTTAAGAAATGAATGATTCCTTGAAGGAATACTGAGAACAAGTCTTGTCTTGTAAAATTTCATAGTTAAAATACAAAGGAAATATTATAAAGAAAATTTAATATTAAATTGGATAGGATTGTGAATTTTTAAGCCTTTCTAGTTTTCTTTGGAATGTCCTTAAAGGACTGTCAAGAGCATTTACTGCTATATTGCGATGCATATTCTTAGCTAACCTGTTGGTAAATTATATTCTGGAAATGTATATTTTTTTATAACTTATAAATAATTATTTCCTTGCTTTTTTCACATAGTAATCTTTAGGGAAGTGTGGAAGCAATTCTCTTCCACAAATTCTTGAAAATCTTTGACTTAAGTTTTGCAAATAGGGTATCATTAACTTCCGTTTAAGTTCCTTCTTAGCCACCTACACATTCTGCATTAGCTGCATTTTTTCTTTGAAAACTCATGTTGCTGGTGCTTCTGTTGTTTTGAGATTGTTGTTCCGTCTGCAGGAGGCAGCAGGCAGCTAGCAACGGCTGCCATTGAAGCCTTCACCGCGATGATAAAGCGCATGGGAGGATGTGTGTGTGTTAAGTGAGTGTTGCACCTGGCAGTGTTCGGTGTACAACTTAGTAGGATAATCATTGATATGCCAACGGCAAGCAAGGAGCAGGACCTGAACCTGCCGTCGAATTACGGATGCATCTCGCTGGCCCACGTGACGTATGCGCAATATGGCCAGCAGCCGAGTTGTTTATGCATTCATTTTTATGCATCGCCTTTGATTAAGTATCTACGTATGCAAAATGCCTTTTCCCATTTCCGATTGATGCGGGGGCTATAAATCCGTCTGCTCAAGCTATTTATAATCCCAAGGAGCGATCATCCCCCGCGAATCGAATTGAATAGAATGGAATATTCCCTTTCGAGTAGATCTGTTTGATTGATTGGGTTTTATGCCCTGTCATCTCGTCTTGTTTTCGAGCGACTCCGCGCCAAATGTCAGTGACTTTCTGTCTGCCAGCGAGCAGTGAACTGAGTCCTGCCGCCAGAGGCTACGAAGCCAGACAAGTCAGAAAGCGTGTCCTCAGCTGCGGTTTAGGCCCACAAAACTAATTGTTCTAATAGGGTGCTGGTAATTATAATTTAATAACATCTTTGCCGGCTGAAAACCCGCTCGTGTTTGCCATTAGAATTCTCGGTGTGTGTGCAATTAACAGTCAGGGCAATAAGGAAGGAAAGCACAAAGGACGTAGGACGAACGACTGCCGCCCTCCAAGCGAAGGGCCCGACCATTTAATTGTAAGTCAAACAGTTCGCCGCCAAGTTTATGCAGTTGAGATTTAATTTGATTACACGCTGGGCTGGAGAGCAGGGCAAACATCTTCTGATTGCCTGAATAAGCGATGAGGAAGCCGTCCACAAATGGGTGAGTGCCAGCCGGAGTCCTTGGACGCAGCGGGTGGATCCTTAAACTGACGCAGGTGCTGGCGCATATGTGCACAAGCCTTACTTGCGTATTAATAAACAAATTACGCAATTAATAACACACGCTGAGCGCTCAGCTGGGCGCAAGCTGTGCAACAGGAGGTGCATCCTCGCAGCCGCTCCATGCGCTGAGTCCTTGCCAGCATCCTCCTCGGTGTCCTCGGCATACTTGGGCTAAAATTAAGAGCCGCTGCTGCAGCTGAAACTGTGGACTGAGCGCCGCGAGCTGGATATTTATGGCCGCGTGCACGGGCCACTGGTGCAGCCATAAATGGCTGAGTGAATTGCTTCTGGAGTGCGGGAGCCCGAAAGTGGCCACTGAACATCAAGTGCTCCGCATCCTTACGCCCGTGGAATGGGGCCAGGACACTAAACTGAAAAAGAAGTATAAAATTGTGCCAGCTAGGCATTCTTTTTCCTAACTACCTTTGGCTGCCTTGCGCTTCCTGCGTAGTCGTTGTCTTGTGCGCTCACACGGAAAAGCAGACAAAATGTATCTGTGACAGCGCAGCCAGAAATCCAGGATAACCGAGCGAAGCGAGCGAAGGACGACAAACGAATATTTATTACAGGTGTTTGCCTTTGACTGACAGAAGGCACAATCTGGCGCACACGGCAGGGCGGGCAGGAGCTTAGTTGCGGGCACTTCCCTGGAAAGTATCCAAGCTCCGGGACACTCGGCTTTAAGACGGAGGCCAGCCACACTTCGTTGCTCGATTGTGCCTGCAAATTGATTTGGCATTGTCGCAAGCCATGAGTATCTCTTTTGAGAGAGACTCACGGAGGCAATGCCTCAAATCCGATTTAAGGGAAACCGAAATACGATGCAAACCCAACCGGAATTCCTGGAAAATCCGACACCCAGGGCTGCATATTGAAAGGCTAAAAATAATAATACAAGCCGCAGCCGAGTATTCATAACCGAGGTTTCCCCTTGTTCAAAGTGAAGCTTTAAGGGGGCCAAAAGTGCGGAATTGCATTTCTTACACATTTCAGCTGAGCGACAGCTGGAAAAAGGGGACAATCAGCGGCCCGAAGAGGATTTACCTTGGTTAGCTATGCAAATCCAGGTGAAACTTGCTGCAGGTCTCGGTCTGCTGAAGAAGTATCCTTAAGCCGGAAGAGATTTATGGGCCGTTGGGCATTCGCGGTGATGAAAGTAACCCAAAGGATACACATCATCGTCGTGATGGCGGTCATTTTGATTAGAACGAAACCCCAATGGTTTGCCGCAGACAGTTAATGGGAAGTTGGGAAGTCAAGAGGCGGAGAGGGATGAGCTGGATGAGTAGGAGGCTGTTCATGTGCTCGTGATGTGTAATTAATTTTCGGCAACATCTGTTTATCCTAATTAGAGGCGATACGAGCGCACACATGCCGCCGAGGGGGGCGTGGCCCCAAGCGGGGCGTTTTCCTTTCATTTATCATTATTACCGGACTAGCCCCCAAAACGGGCCAAAGGTCAGCGAGATAAAGGCTGGGAGGTGAACCGATTAAGCGGCCAGAAATCAAGTGAGTAATTGCCGAAACAGCTCTTGCATGGCGAATGCCTCTGGCCCCTCCGTAATGAGCTCGGAATCGAGAATTGACCGTAAGCCGAAACTTGCTGGCAAAAAGTATAAAATTAAATGGGAAAACTTGTACTAAAAAAGAGCTGGTAAGAAGCAATCAACGCCTTGCAGCTCTAATGGAAAATTGGCCAAAGTTCGGGGGGTGGGGGGGCGAAAATCGCCAAATTGAAGTCGGGCAACTTTGTCATAAAATGAAATTGCAAGAAAAATCAACGAATGGGATAATCAGAATAAGGATGAGCGGATGCCCCATCAAAATGGGGCCAGTGTGTGTGTCCTTTTTCAGCCGTCATTCCAGGCACAAGGCACCAGGCTGGGCATCGGAAAACGGGCATCCTTTTGACTCGACTCCCGGCCGAATTTCCCAATTTATTATGCGTGGTTTCTTTTATTGGGGCGACGACTGACTCTGTCTGCCTGCCTCTTTGCCAGAAAGGTTAACAAGCAAAAAAGCGTCGTCGCAAATCAAAGAGAATTTCAAGCAACTGGCTGCAGGCAAATGCAGATTACGAGAATCAAAAGCTTATAATTAATCAGATCTTCCTGGTTGTGCCTGGGCCTGGGAAAATTCGCATGCGATTTTCCCCTGAAAGCGGCTTCTGCTGAGGTGGCCTATAGGAAAATTCAGTTCTATTTGGCCTGAGCGCTGTTCCATGCCCCAGGTTCCGTTTTCCGTTCCGTTTCATTCCGCCTCTGTTCCATTCCACACTTTCCCACAAGGCCTGTGGCATGTTACAATTACTAAAGGTGGCCTCGTTGGCAATAAACAACCATAGATTAAGCCCTATCAGTGTGAAGCTTTAATGTGCCTTTGAAGTGCTTAAACCGTATTAATTTTTTGTATTTTTATATATATAAAAATATTTCATATATTAACATATTGGTGCCTTGAAAAATTGTAGGCCATACTCGTGTCTATGGCACACATTTAGCATAAGGATTAATTTTCTAAAAAAAATGCACCCACACACAGCATTTTCTGGCAACAAAAACGAACAGAAAGGGACCAAAACCCGAACGCTTTGGCACCCGACGAGACTACCTTCGTAATTTATAGCATGCCATGGCATGTGGACCGCCAACTGTTGGCAGTTAGTTCGTTTTCAAAGCTCTGCCGCGTCGGTTGTGCCAACTTGCTCGAGCGGAGCTCACTGGCTAACGGTTCTTGCCGACGGCACATAACGGTACATTTCACTGCTGCGTGGGTGTTGTGGGACTGCTGCGAGTGTTTGTGTGAGTGTGTGTTTTAGTTTCCGAAGCGCCGTTCGCTTCGTCGCTGATCGCGTACAAACAGCTGTTGCCACCATTTTGCGACTGCAGTTTCCGCTCTCAGTTCCTGTTGAGTCCTTGTGCGAGCCAAAGGGATAATGCCAGAAAAGCAGTTACACTTTAAGGCCTAGTTTTGTGCAATTGAAACCACAAGTGGGTGATGTTTTCGGCCTTTTTTGATACTTAAAACTCAAACTGAAAGTATCTAGCTTCATACGTGCTTACTGCCCAATATTATATGCAAATAGAGAATAAAAAAACCCAAACAAAATTTAAATATTCGCAAAAAGCGCGACAAGTGAGTGAGTGCATTCATTGTGAACTCGCGGGTGTGTGTGCGACGAGTGTGAATGTGATTTATGTGATTCTATGGGGTTTTCTTCAGCGCCGTGCTTGTTTGCGAATCAATTCGGTTGCTTTCGTTTCGTAATTTTCTCATTAGCAAACAATTTTCTTTTCTGTCATTCATTGACGAGCTGCAATTTTCATAATTGTCGCCGCTGTCACACAATGCACAAATGCAAAAATAAACATAGCTGTTTATAGACGCGGTCCCCCAAAAACATGATGTCAGCCGGCAGTATCTGCCGAATTCTCTGTGCTAAATGTGCTAAGCAGTGACAGCAAATAATTGTTTTGCCATAAACTGCCAGCTCACAATGTGGCCAAACTATGCAATCAGCAAATAAAGCATATTTCAATCAAATTCTAGCGCAAACAAACTATTAATTTCACGAGCCCGGCTTAGCAACGCCCCAACGAAAAGATCAACACACCGAACACTGAGCCGAGCCATGGAGATTTTAGGCAAAATGCGTGCAATTACTCAACGCCTGACAACCAACTGATTGCCCCTCAGAGAGCGAGAGTGAACACAACCTGCGGCAACTAGTCGCAAAAAAAATAATAAATAAAAATAAAAACACAACTCAAAAATATATATATCAATCGGGCGAGCCGGTTAACGCCTGCAAGTGCATCGGAAAATACGAATCGAAAACAACATCTAACAGCAAAAACTTGACCGATTTTCCAAGTGCTTCGGCGACGGCAAGCGGCTGCTGTTTGCTAATCTCGCCCAGAAACTCCGATCCGATCTCAATCGCCATCGAGATCGCGATGATTTATGCAGGTGAGTCTGCCCGAGTTAAACGCACTTTTTGTATCATTTACACACTTTGAAAAATCGGGTTTTCAAAGCAATTTTATCTAAGAAAATAGCTTTTCTTCGGTTTTAAATTTCGAGTATACCTTATACTCGGTTGCGGTTGGGATAGGCATTTGTTATGGATTGGTTCAACAACTTGCCTTTAAAAATACGCTTTAGTGTCAAAACGGTATGGCTATAAATCCATAGGAGTCGACTAATTACAAACCCATATCAACATACACGACGGCGACCACGTAATTTACAGAAGGGGCAGGCGCGTGTCATACAAAATTACGAGGCAAAAATTAGAAAAATTCGACAAGTGTTTTGTGCATTTCTGCTGTTTTTTTTTTGTTGTTCACACAGAGCTTAGCACGTGCCCGCCCGCCCGCTGTCTGTGGTTACAGATTTTGTTTATTCACTTTCGGTAGCCTAATTAACTAAATTGGCTGGCCGGCTGTGTTGACAATGGAAGCCAAAGTGTGACCGTCCAGGGCACTTGGCAAGAGTTGCGGCTCCGCCCTAGGCCCATCTTGCCACCTACCTCTCCCGTCCTCCTGGCCGGAGCCGGAGCCGGAGTCGAGTGTGAAGCTTAGCAGACACAAAGGCCAGTTGACAGGTGAAATGGGAGCAAACAATGGCAGTTGTTTTGACAGGGCCCACAATGGCCCGATGGGTCGGCCGACTGAGCCAATAATGTGGACTTGGACAGATGGGTTGGCATCCCAACCGAGCGGATGGGAAGCGGCCCACGGGAAATGTAGTAATAAATAAGGTTTTTTTTTTTATGTATCCTAATTTATTTCACTTTAAAGTGAGAAATATAGGGCACCCTGACTTTTACTTTATTTGGTATATTTATTATTTACTAAATCACTTTCAAACATCCATCGCATATGCGACTGAAGTCACGATTCTGTGACATTTAAAGCCTCGCATAAACCTTAGCTTTAAGTGCTTATAAGTGGCATAAAGGTTTTCTATTTAGGAATACTCTAGGGAAAATTTAAAATAATAGTTTCCCGAATCCTTGTTTAAGCCAAATTGAGTGCAGAAATGTACTTCTAGGATAAAATCCATTAAGAGTTTTAATATTTGTGTCAAGTCAAAAAGTACTTTCAATTGCTAAAAGTAAATACAAGTTGTAATAATATATGTATGTTATAGATTTTTATAGGAAATTACTGCTTAAAAAATATAGTTTATTATATGGTTGAAAATACTTTACCTAAACGTAAATCATATTTGTATATCCTTGCAGGGTATTATAATTTTAGTCAGAAGCTCGTAAAACTGTGAAGGAGTCACTTCCGACCCCATAAAGTATATATATTCTTGATCAGATGTATGCAGTTTTGTTAGCCCTATAAAAACAAGCATAGGAAAACTTCCCAAATTAAAATTAATGTATTTTTGGCTTAGTTATGAGTTTTTCAAACTTTGATTTTTCAAAAAAATTGCTTATTTAAATATTGATATATTTTTTAATAGAATCGACTTCCGATTCCTTTCTATATTTTAAATGAAAACTGCAATGATTTATAAGCTCGGGCTTATCGAAGTGAGTCTCCTGTCTTGTACTTGGAAAACTTGGAAAAATCAAATGTTTGATAAATTTCTTTAAGAAAAGTAATTAGGATTGAATTTTTAATTCATTTTCTTGCTATAACCAATGTCCCCGAGGCTGTTCATGCCTCGTAAGCCCCTGGGAACTGGGAGCTGGGCAACGCGAGCTTCAAGTGGCAACAAAGTTGCCGCTAACATAATTCGGGGCTGTGTGCAGCGCTCTGTGAAGGCATTCAAATTGCTTCCCTGTCCAGCTGAAACAACAATGGCAACCTACGTGCATAAGCCACCGAAACCTGAGATTCTTTCGCCCAGTCGAACACAAAAGAGCGTCAACATAGAATTGTGCAACCAGCAGAGCAAATGACTTGCCACTCGGCCGGAGGGTGAAACTTTACAACAAAGGGGGTGAAGAGTGTGGGGATTGGGGCAGCAGGTGGAGGAGCTGGAGGAGAGCCCACACGTACGCTGGAATAAAACAAACCAAACCAGTTGAAATATATTAATGGGGCGGGCATGAAATTGTTTTAGGTGTTCGCTGCCGCCCTGTGTGTGTGTTGGCATTAAACTTGGCATTAAATAACAATAACCTGGCAATAAAACGGGGAAAAAATAAATGGGGAATGTGCAGGAGCAACCCTTTCACTTTCACATTTACCTTCTATCCTCCACTCGTCGTATTTTGTGCCAGTTTTTGTGCCACTTCTCAGCCCTATTGCGAATTTCTCACCTCGCAACCTCCCTGCTCCCTGCATGGCACACGCGTCGTATGCGCAATGAGGCTTCTTGGGGGACAGGAAAACAATGGCAAACACACGATATTGCGTATACGGCGTGTGGACCGGGTATCTTTGAGAAAATTCCCCAAGAACGTGCGGGCCTTTTGAATGGAAAGTATCTGCCTAATGTATTTAACACTCAGCGAGCACTTTTTACGACGCCTACACCGAAAATGTTGGGCTGCCAGTGCTCTTTGTTTCCTCTTCATTCGCGATGATTGCGCACTCTGTTGCTTAGGTGGAAGGCAATCAAATTTACCATGGCGAGATCTCGTAAAAGTTTTATTGACACGCAGTCCCCTGCAAATTAACAGCTCATTGCAATGCAGCCACAAAGTGGAGGCGATGCCAAATGAAGCATGAAGGGCCAAGGAGCCAACAGCCAAGGGCAACTGGAACGGAAATGAGTTCACTGCTCGTGGCGGCGGGCTTAGCTCTTGAAAAATCACCTAATTCATTTAAATAAGCAAGGAGATGCTGGTGCCGAAAGCAAGTCCATTTGCCGAAAGGGACGTGGCCTTCTGCGCTCGGGAAGTCCAAAGTCGCCTTGGCTTTTATCTGCAAAGATGTGGAATGCCGTCGAGTCGACAAACTAATTTAAAAATCCACTTGCTAAGCGTTTCCCACCTCTAGCTCTCCAGCTTCCAGCTTTCAGTTCCATGGAGAGGCACTCTCCGGGGCCTAGGCTATTTATTTTTTCATTCCCTGCCTTTTATGATGATTTTGCACTGCGTGGCAATAGTAGAGCAAATATTTTAGCCCTCGAGTGTTTAAATATAAAGCGGAAATGAGCTTTACTCCCGCTCCTTTGGCTCTCCATATTCCAGCTTTTCCTTTCGCCCGAAACGTGCCCAATGAACTGAGCGTTCGCCAAGAACTTTTGCCAACTTGGATGAGTGTCTATGGGTCTATATGGAAATGCTAATTAATGACTGCAACTTTCTTTGCCAGACACTTTTGAATTAATTGCACACCTCCACGAGCCAGTCCGATTCGTCTGCCCTGCTATTTTTACGGCCCCCCAGTCGAGGTTTGAGCCAACAGCCAGACTCGAGCCATGTTTGGGATCCCAACACCCGGCCACGCCCAGGCACACGCTGAAATCGTAAGATAATGGATACGAGCAACGATTGCATCGGCTGGATAATGAAATATGTACATATGTAACATATAGTTGTGTGAAGGAAAACAATTTATGGATTTCATTTCGATTGTTTTGTCATATTGATTGACAGCCCGAATTGGCAACAACACTCTGCTCTGGCAGCGCAAAGCTATCTGATCGAATTCAACGCTCAACTTTGACTTCCCCGAGCCCAGATCGGAGTGAACTGAAAATCGAATTTGTTTGCTCCGGAATGTGTGTGGCCATGTAATTAATCTAATTAGCAGCTGCCTCTCGGACTACATTTATTTCAGGCTTTGTGTGTCTTTATGTGCGTGTGGAAAACCAAACTCCCACCCAATTTCCAATCCGAATGAAAGCCGTCCATGCATTCACCACACAGTGGCATTCATTAGTTAATTGATCAAGCGTAGAGAAATCTGACTATCCTCTGGTTTAAAGCTCGTCCGCCAACCATTCATTCAATTGAATGAATTTTTCAAAACTATTTCTAGTGCGTCGAGTTTTTGTGGCCGGGAAATTCTTTTATGACAGCATAAAATCCAAACACAAATTATTTCGCCATAGAAAAACAAAAACTGCGAATTGTGGAAGCTGGAAAACGAAAATACGAGTCCGAAACAAGGAACATAATGCGACATAGACAGACGCAGGCATGAAAGGAAAAGTTGTGCCGGAATACATGTGTATATGTTATATATAGGACCAGTGGCGCACTATATAGCAGGACGATTCCGGCAAGAGTGTGTGCAAACAGAGAGGCAAAGTGCCCAAAGCGTTTTCACAGTCAATTTTGTATGTAAAGGCAAAGACAAGACAACGCCTGACATGTGTGTGCTGGCGGAGGAATAGGATCTGGAAATGGGAATGGGATTGCGATGAGGATGAGGATGAGGATGAGGATGGGAGGTTGCCTGGCTTAGTGTAAATTTTTATATTTTGTGGTGCATGGCACATAAAACCTTTTGTTAGCAGAGCCGTGCTGCTGCTGTTGTGTGTGCGGGTTAGTGTACATTTAGGACAGTGGCAATGAGCATGAAAGCCATTAACTACCAGCACACGAATGGGTTCATATTTTAAGTAGGTTTTTGATTTAAAAAAAACTTTAAGATTTTGTTCTCAAAAAGATCAAACTAAAGAAAACAAGAAAACTACTAATGTATTGAATTACATGTAGTATACTCTTAACACTAAAAGTCTTTGTAAAAACTTAAATCAAACATAAAACAAACATAAAACCTATTGAGTAATCTTAGTCGTACATGTATTGCACAGGATCAGCAGGTTTATTTACCAATTTATGGATAACGAATTTTAAGGAATGCTCCTTAGATCCCATACTTTCTTGCAATGCCAAAATAACTCTTCCCTTAACTAGTTAAATAAAAATAAATCACTCTAAGAACTCTTGCTCACATTTGTCTAAATATGAGTACGTCCAAAAAGTAATATTGTATAAATGCGGTTGTAAATAAAATAAATATAATGCCTCATAATTCAAAATAATGTTTGCTTTAAATAGCCACATTTTACATAACAATTATTTTGCGAACGCAAAGCTTAGTCAATGTTATTAAACTAAATTATTTGTGAAACTAGAACTGCCGAAAGCATTCAATGATCTTGTCATAAACAAAGAATGTCACATATCAAAATTTAATCAAGTTCTTTTTGATATAAATAACTATTTATTTAAAGTGTTGGATTTAAAATATAACAAATGAATTTAATTTAAATGTATTAGTTTAATGGAAATACATCAAAAACAGCAGCATTTCTATTTAACTTTCTACAAAAACACAGTTTGTTGAAATCAATTCAAGCGTGCTCAAAGGCTAAAGAAAACAAAATTATTTCGGTCTTATTTATTTGTTTCGCAGCCAAAAATAAATGTGTATAAACACTCTCGCTTTATTAACAATAATCCTATTTGGCAAGCACAAACTTAGCATGAAGTAAACAAGTCGGTGCCACCCCTTAGCAGGTGGTGGCAGTGGCAGTGGCAGTTTCTGTTGTTGCACAGTACACTTTCACCTTAACAATGAGCGGCAACAATGGGAAAACAGAGAACAACAAACAAAATGCCAAACACACAAATGAAAATGAGTGCAGACCCGAAAGAAGCGCGAGGCGAAGGCAAATGTAATGACACTTAAGTGGCCCTGAATCTCAATCTCTTTGCAGTCGAGTGATTTCGTCTTGTTGGCAACACACAGCGCACTTGGTCACCTACCTGGCCGGTGACGTATGTATGTGGATGGGGGGTTGGTCCTTGGCATTCCTCTCCTTTCGGGTATAAGACATTTTTCTGGACTTTTTACGACTGTCCGGGGTCTCATTTGCGATTTGAATAAGCGGAGACGCATAAAACATTTATGGCTATGCTAATATTTGAGCAAAAACATATTATAATCATATGTAATGACTTCTCATGTGATTTATTCGGGTTGCTTGGACCTCTCACAATAATTGCAGTATATACATCATGGCATATTGCACTAATAAATCTCTATATCTATCATAAAGATAGCAAGAGGTATACAGACGACAGTTAATTAGGAGTATGCTAAAAGTGCTAAATATTTCAAAAAACTACCCTTGTAATTATAAATAAATAAACATTAAATGAGATTATATTTGTATATAGAGTTGTGTAAAATCAGACAAAAAACATATTTCTTACAAAAATAATAGGATTATACTGCATATATCTCTAATCTTTAGATAGAAATTTACAGAATTTATTCTGTAAAAGGTATTTGTGTTTGTTATCCTTGTTAATTGGGCATACTGGTTAAACAACTCCCACCTCTTCATTGCCCAGAAGTCCTCGCTATTTGTACATTTCGCACGAATCCCCTTGGCCACATGAGCACTAAATTAAACCTTTCCTGTCTATTTTGCTTGGGGTGCCCCAAAGTGAGCCATTTTTTTGACGTATTCGGCAGACAGCTAATTAGCTTGCCAAACCACTGAATTCCGTATGCAACGCACAGTTCTTCCCCTAATTTGTCGGAAGTCGCTCGCTTTCCGGCTGAGGATAAAAGTGCGTGCACATGACGTGGCATCCTCCGGCATCGGGTGTCCTTGCCAATGTGCTCCATCTCCAAATCCAACTCTGGCAAGATTATTCCATTTGGCGCACACGAGCACGAATGAGATCGGTGCGTGATGGGAACCACGTTACGTTACATTACGTTCCCGGCAGTGCATAATGCCATAATGACAGACACAAAAGGTGGAATCATTATGCAAATACCATTAACTTTACATACAGTTCTATGCCATTTAATCTCCTCTGGGTGGAGATGTTTTAAAATGAATCAATGCTCTCGTGCCGGGTGGCCATAAGGCAAATATGAATATATTTATTAATAGGTGTCCACTCCGGATGGTCCTGGGTGTGCCGGCTGAAATGAATAGAAATTAGCTGGCGTCGAAGGGGAGCGAATGCTGAATGTCATTAAATACAAATTATGGTTATTAGCGGACTCTCTGGCCCTGCAAAGGGCAGGCCCTGACAATGATTTGACCTTCTTGAATGGAACGCGCGGAAAATTTAAATGACGCATTCGGACTGGAGGTGGATTGGAGGCACAACTATATTCCTATTCCGTTTCCACGTATTTAGCTGCTCGGCCCGAATGATTTGGGATATTTTGGGGACGTGGCCCTATTACAATATTCCCATTAAATATGCGTGAACGCGCCGCCAGCTTTCCGACTTAGTCGCGCCCATGGCTCATTCAATGTTTACAATGCTGACAGCCGGTTCGGTTCTGTTCGGTTTGGCCTGGGTTTGACTTAGCCTCAACCTTAACCACGGTCAAGGAACACGCTCAAGTTATTAAACATTGATTACCTATCGATTTTTGTGCCCCTTGTGAGTGGGTTTGAAGTTTGAAATGAAGGAACGGATGATGGCACAAATGCAAATTACCTGTGAAAATGCAATTTCTCTTCTTTTGCTTCCTGTCACAGTGGCGGCAACGCAGTTTGACATTTCATTTTCGGGCGCCAGGAAGAAAAGGGATTCCGGCTTTAAGGGTATGTATAAGGGACAGCTGGAAAATCACCTGGCTGACAGCGTGTGAAATGAATGAATAAATTCAAGAGACATAAGTGCGAAAGGACATTTTGTGAAGCGAACCAAATTAAAAGGCAGGAATGCCTTGGGAATACAAAAGTTGTAACTGCATTCGGCTTGCCGGGCACAAGTTGCAAGAGCCCACTCATCAGAATCGAGTTATTTTGTCAGTTTTTGTTGAGCAACTCACTTATTTATTTACTTTCAACACAACTTTGTCATCGAGCGAGCGCCGGGCATGAGAAGTTCCAAGGTTTCTGCACAATCACTGACGAAACTTTCCTGTCAGGCAATTAGTAAATTCTGATAGCTTTTGTCAGCTAAGATATTGCCAGCCGAGAGAGAACCGATTGGATTTATTGATTGTCATCTAAGTGGGCAACATAACTTTGCAAAATACAAAATCCTTCTATTAAAGAAACGATTTGAACTTTCTATTGATGTTGCCAATTTGCTGTTGAAGCGCCAGCAAAGTGACAGTTTAAAAGAGAACCTTTTCGTTCTACACTCTGCAAAAAAGTTAATCTCTTTTGCAGAAATATTTCTGCTGCTCCTGATGCTCACACGGACGAATTGACAGGCTTCCAAGGTGTTTGATTTGTTGAGTGATAAATTGCGTATACGCCGTGTGATTGATAAAACGAACTTGTCCATTGTGGCCCTGATCGAACTCCCTTTTCCGTTCTGTTCTATTGTTATTTGCAGTTTATTTGGAGCACCCGACAGCACTCGCAAATAATTGACATTGGAGTGTGTTTGCTCTGCACACATTTGATATGTAAACCGCGGGTCGTGTAAACAGGAGTGTAAACACATCTATATTGGGCCGAACGACGCGACAGTTACCGCCACACATCGACACCCAGTGACCCCCCACCGGAACGGAGCTGTCCTGGATGGAAGCCACCTGCGGGTGCCGGGGCCCACGAGACGCTCAGGGATTAACTGGAGCGGAGGCAACGGCATCGGTATCGGTATCGCAATCCCTATTGGCACGAGCATCAGCGTCATCGGCACAGGACACCACCGATTGCCAGGCACAACCGCAGTGTCAACATCAGCAGCCACATCAACAACATGGCCATAAAGCAACAGCGTCCAGCAGCATGTAATTCATGGTTACAACTACCCAATAAACAGCTTATATTGGTAAGTAAATGAGTCCTCTTTCTCTTCTAATCTTACCTAGATTTACCCTTAAGAAACCCTTTTAAATCAGAATGGTTAAAGTAATTCCTTAGCCATTTAAAGTCTTGAAACTCTTAAAGTTTCCCTTGAATCCTTATTAAGGGTTCATTTTTTGGGCCAGAAGTCGTTTCTCTGCTCGTATCTTGATTTCCCTGACAACTTACACAAACAACGATCAATCAAACAATTTGCTTGCGACTCTATTTACCCAAAGGACTTGTGAGAAATAGAAAGGAATGGAATGCATGTCGCGCACAATTAGTCAAGCTGGAGCGCAGAACTTGTGCTGTGTGTTAAAAATTTAGTTGGCAACATTTCCTGTTATTATTTCCGCAGTTGCTTCCGTTGTGGCACAGAGGCACGCACGTCCTGGCCAGGCCCAGTCTCTGCCCCAGCGGTGCTCATCAGGGCCAGTGCCGAGAAGGGTTTTTGGCGACACTGGCAGTGACAGCTGTAGGCACGTCCTAGTTTTGTGGCCATGGCTGTTGCTGCTGCTGCTGCTGCTGCTTTTGCAACTGTCAGTTGCACATTTCGCCGCTGGCGTCCTGCGTTCGTCTGGCATCTGTGTCCTCGTGAATGTTGCAATCAACTCTGACATGCTGATGTGTGTGCCCGACATTGATTATCTTGTAGCTGTCTCTCTTTGCCCGTTTGCCTAGCCTAGCTGCAGTCACCGTTGGCCAAATGAGCGGCAATAAATCCATAGAATATATCTTTGCTGAAGGCAACAGGAGTCGGGAGTCGGGAGTCCGGGAATCGGGGAATCAGCATCAGTTTGTGTCGCGTTCATGTGTCTCTGGCAGATGGTCGTAAAGTGGCATGTGCTCAGTCGTAAAACACCGAGGCGAGTGTAAAAGTCGGGGATCTGTTAATGGCCCAACTACTTAGCATTATCAGCCAGTCGAGCCATTAATTAAATTTTAATTACTTGAAGTAATTTTCATAATAAATCAGCCATTCAAATCAGCTCAGCTGAGGGCAGAAGTAGCAGAAGAACTCTGAAGGAACTCCAGAGCTCAGAGGACAGGTCCTTGAGCGTAGCACTTGAGCAGCTCACAAATCTAGGCTTATGGCCAAAGCCGGCGAACACATCGAGAGGCTTTCGCCTGTCATTTGCATTTGATTTTCAACAACGCAATTGTATTAGGCGATAACAGGGGATTTTCAGAGTCTATAGCAAATTGTGCCCTAGGATAGTTTCAAATATTAAAGTTCAGGAACCGCCCTAGACGGGCCACACAAAATGAGGGGTGGGATCCTTTGAATCCTCCATGTTTTGGCGCCATTCGCGCGCAATTATCAGAATTAAATTAAAAGTTTTTGCGGAACTGTCGACGGGCTATTGCAGTTGGCAGAAATCAGCAAGCCGCAGAATTGTTTTATCTGCGTAGGGTTGCTTTGTGGCTGTGTGTAATGGTCCCGTTTCCGGTTTCTGCCCCCGCTTTCGCGAATTGTTGCGAATTCCGCCGTTTAATTCAACTCATTTAGGTCCCAAAACTACGGGTCCAGCTAATTTGCGGCAACTGGATTTCGTGCCACAAATGTAGCGCCATTGTTCGCCGCGATGGAGCGAGCATTTTCCCGGAAAGAGTTAATCGTGCCGATGCAGTTATTGAAATCTCTTTATTGTCCTTGCTCACAGCGGTTTTATTCAGGCTAATTACAACGAACCAGTGACATTTGGTTGAATAATATTCCGAGGAAGTTAAGCTGATAGCTCAAATGCTTGGACAGTCCCAAAAACAACCAACTTTTATCGAAGCTCAACTGTTGTTTGAATATTAATTCCAGAGTAGAGGTTGCTTATATCTGTTTCTGACATTGGATTGCGGCTTCATCAACTTGTTTTTGGCGCCTGAGGCACCTGGTTTTGCTTATTTTACACCGCCCGCCTGCTTAACTCTTCTGAAATCAGATTTAGTGCAGTTTCCTCTGTGGGTTTATGCGCTTTCCTCCTGCTTTTAATTTCCTCTCAAGCTGCGCCACACAAATTGGATTCGGGAAAAAGGTGAAACGAAATGAATTTATGCCACTTCACCTGCACTCTGTGGTCTCTGTGACTGCAGTTTAATATTTATTTTATTATAATGGAATTTATGCTTAATTTGTATGCACAAGGCTGTTGGCAAACTGTCTCAATTGTATGCATTAAAAATTCCTTGTCGGAAGAGAACTGCTGGCGCTGCAGTCAGGACACTAAAATAAATAAAATTACGCTATCCTGTCTCTACTATGCACTAATGGAAACGTTTAATTATTCCGTATTTACTGAAGAATTTCTATGGCGATGGCATGTACTGATTGCCCATTAGTTTTGTCAACAGCTTTGCAGCTCTACCACAACTTTCTGCTGATTGAAGAAATCAATCAAACAATCCCGAGTGACTGTAGCTTAATGAAAAGGAAAAGAGCAAGAAGTGTCCTCGAATCGAGTATGAACTTCCATTTGCATAAAGAAACCCAGTGGCATTTCGTGTCTCCATAAATATGTATGATTAAAGGCGAATGTTATTCAACTTTTTTACGCCTTTTGACAATTTAATTTCGCCTAAAGGACTCGGTTAACTTTTTAATGCTGCAGTAATTAAATTTAATTTGCTTCAAAGCGCCACCCCTGCGTTGCCACACACTTCGTGCTTTGCTTTTTATGTCATCGTCAACTAGGCGTATGCGTAATGGAATAAAGAGCACAGCACTGGCTGGTGATGCTCTTCCCGAAAAAACAGAGTATAAGGATTATAATTATTTGTTTGACATTTTGTTTTATTTTACAAAAAAAAAGAAACAAAAGTTTGCCAAAATCTAAGCTTGAATGTTCGTTCTCTTATGAGCGTAATTCCCTCAACAAGGGTATTAAGTGTGCAGCAACGCGTATACGCCGCGTGGGTCGTGGGCGAAAAAGCTTTCACAACTCGGTTTAAATGCCAATTATTTATTACACTCGGCAATTTAATGTCGGCGAATTTCAGCGTGCAACTCAATTTGGGCATTTCTCATTATTAGCTGCCACAAAGCAAATTTTGGCATGCAAATTTTGTGCGCCAAGCAGAATGCCATCAGGCAGCGCCTTGGCTGTGCTCCGACTTTGAGTAAGGCTTTCTGCCACAGCCCCGGGAGCAAATGCTTTTAAACTTTACAACTGGCAACAAAAGCAAAGGCCCAGCAGCAGCTCCTCTTTGGCCTTTGCATTCTGTTTGTCATGTGGGTAATTTATGCGGGCCTCGTACACGCACTTCTTGCCCCCGATTGGCCCTATTGTGGCACATAGCGAGTGGCCCAAGCTGCCAATTACCAGCCGTGTACTACCGAATGCCGGCAAGTATTTTGATTAACCTTCGCTCGGAGGTGTTGCACAGCCTTGAACTTAACCCGTGTAATCAATAGTTACCTGCAATCGATACAATTGCATACACATATGTAGCTTTGATTTTGTTTGTTTGATTGCCTCCTGTGGTCGAACAGGTTCCACCACAACTGTTGGCTTCTGTTGTGGACACATCGCAACACGTACTGCATTATTAACAGTGCCCCACGGAGCGGAACAGGTGCTCCGCCGAGTGGCAAAACCAGAAGAAGTTGCCAAAAGTTCACACAATCGGCAGCAAAGTGCGTCGCTCCCGGTGAGGCGGCTGAGGTCTTTAAGCTAATGTATATTTTAATCGATTTGTTGCGTGCTGTGAATATTTCATGCCCAGCAATTACCCCACAGAAATCGACCCAGGGGATGCGTCGTCGGTGGTGGCTCCTTCCGCTATTTTCGGCTTCGTGCCTGGCCCAGTCGGGCCAGCCATTAAAGTCAAAAATAATTTCAAATATTGATTAGTTAACCGAATTGTGCGCTAACATTGAGGCCACTTTATGGCAGTTGATTGCTTGTTTAGCTAAATTTGTAGTTTATCGGCTCGATATGAGCTCTCCTCAATGGATCGCTCGACAATCGATTCGCATGCCAATTCATTCATAGATTCACCCTCCACAAACACACACTCACTCTGAAATTATAAACGACCGCATTTAATTACGGCAATTAAATTGCAATGTGCAACTGCAGCTGAATGCCAAGTGGGAGAGATATGTATTCCCCATTCAGAGGTTTCATCCCGTTGGCATTACGCTTCCGCAAGCATTTAATTTTCCATCATGTGGCCAGGTCAGCCGCGGTTTATGCTTAAAGGTGGCTTATTTTGTCTTACAAAACAATTAAGCAAATATGCCAGCGGCGTTATTTTATATAATACTCCCTTATCCTGTGCTCTTTTCCTCGCTTTTTGTTCCCGGCTGCCTTTAATTACCCTATTTTTTGTTTTCATTGCTGAGGGCGAATCACCATTCCCTTTACTCGACTTCTGGCCTTCATTAAAGCTTTAAATATCAGGCAAACGGATACGGGAATAATCGCTTTGCTTCAGTGTTTTCCACTTAGTTTAAGCTGCAATTAAGCTGAAATATTTATGTCTAATGAGCCCGCATTAAGTTTACTTTTCTATTTTAAGGCTCCAGGTTGTTGCGCGTGCATTAAATTATTCATTGCAGGAAATTTGTCTTTCCCAATACCAGGAACTAATTACAGTCCATTCAAATTTGTTAGTTTAAGCCTCATTGTTTCTCGATAACAATTTATATGCAGGTTTATAATTTTACAGAAAATTCTGCTGGCAATTTTCCATTAAAATTAAATAATATTCATAAATTCACTTAAATTTGATACATTTTTTCCTCGAATTATTTTGCACAAGCATTCGGTTTTGAGTTTCCAATTATTATTGGTCAAGTGCTCTCCCCTTTCTCCCATTGTTCCTGAAATAGATTTACAACGAACCTCCCAACATTTGTATTTCTTTTGCGGCATGCCTCGATTTGCAAACCACTTTATTCACTTTGGGGCTATTTATAAACCTCCTTTTCATAAATTAATTAGGCACGCGAGGGCAGGCCCCCGGCCAACAGGATGTGGCGGCAATTAGGAACACAGTCAGCTGGCTTTGACCTCGCTAACTCTCCTTCCTTCGGAAATATAATTGCAGGCGGTGAACACGGATACACACCCATCTCAAAAGTACCGCCATGAATGAGACAGAGTGCGAGGATCTCATCAAATCTGTGAAATGGACGGAACCAGCCAATCTGATCTCCCTGGCCATACTCGAGTTTATCAACGTTCTGGTCATCGGCGGCAATTGCCTCGTGATTGCCGCCGTCTTCTGTTCCAACAAGCTGCGTAGTGTGACGAACTTCTTCATCGTCAACCTGGCCGTGGCGGACCTGCTGGTGGGTCTGGCGGTGCTACCCTTCTCGGCCACCTGGGAGGTCTTTAAGGTGAGTTTACTGTAACTCTTTAGACTTAATGAGTTGGTGTTAATAACCGATATTGTTATCTCATTAAAGGTGTGGATATTCGGCGATGTCTGGTGTCGCATCTGGCTGGCCGTCGACGTCTGGATGTGCACGGCATCGATCCTGAATCTGTGTGCCATATCCCTGGATCGCTATGTGGCGGTCACACGACCCGTTACCTACCCAAGCATCATGTCCACGAAGAAGGCCAAGTCCTTAATCGCTGGCATTTGGGTGCTCTCATTTGTTATTTGCTTTCCGCCGCTAGTCGGCTGGAAGGATCAAAAGGTGAGTCCGACCCGCCAGTCCCACAACTGACCCACAAGCGACCCGGTGCGATAAATTAACGAGCCGAGCGCGGTTTGTCTCTGCCAAGTCTAAGGACAAGGGGCCGTCGAAATTGAAAGTCCGTAAACTGTTTTTAGCACGCTCGAGTCTCGTAAAGAAACCGGGTGGGCCGAAAGTTGCCAAAAGTCGGGCCCAAACTGGGGGGCCATTCTGTCATTGACACCATTTTTGGGGCTGAAAGTGGTTGCCCAACCGCAACGACAATGCCGACGACGATGACGACGACGACAATGGCTCGTGCCAAAGACTGCAATCCGGCTCATTTGTGCCAAAATTACCGTAAAACAAGACACGAGCTTCGTCCTTTTGTGGGACCATTTCTAATTTCTCCTTCCGCTCCCGTTTCGCCCGACTCTCTGCCATCTCCCATCTCTGCAGGACATTCTTCTCCTTACGCAATGGCACTGATAATGATGTGTTATACATGCCGCCAACATGCTAGGGGGAATTTATGAGCACCCAGTCAGTGGGTAATCAGATCAGAGCCGGAATTCATGGCAGGACCCGGTTTATGGCCTTGTCTTTTGGCAGCCCGTAGGCCACATGGCCTCTGCTTAACCGAACGCTCGTACCAGCTCCCCAGACATGGCCTTAAGCTGCCGATGTACACCGAAAAGTATCTCCTCGAGGACTCGATTCAATTCGATTCGATGGGATTCGATTCAATTCCATTCCATTCAACGTGCAACTGCAGCGACTGAGTGCAGCTGAATGGGCTGCGTTGAATGGATGGCATTCAGCCAGCCGGCTGCCATATTGAAACTCGGTTAGCAAGTCGAGGCTGTTGCCATCGATTATTATTGCGACGTCCCATCCCGACGGATTCAATTCCGATACAGAGGGGCAGGGCGGAGGCATGGAAAGGATGGCCCAGCCCAGGCAACATGCTCTCACATACAGCTCGCGGCATTCATTTTTCCCCCGGCTGTTGGCTCTTTTTGTTACCGCCACCTTTTTGGCCATATTTATGCGCAACACGTCGGCGAATATCTCTGGCAATATAACCCGCTTTAAGTTGCATTTTTATTGGCTTCTTAGCCCGGTGAACAGGGTGAACAGGACGCGGCCGGAATTTTAATGGGGGTCCTCCGAATATCAAGTGTCATCTGATGATGATCCCAATCTCTCCCTCTCTCTCTATTCCGTTCCAGGCCGTCATTCAGCCGACCTATTCGAGGGGAAACTCTACGCTTTTCTACGCCACCACGATGTCAAGCTCGGAGGATGGCCAACTAGGGTTAGATAGCATTAAGGAAACGCATCCGTCACCTGCGTCATCGTCGTCGTCGTCGCCGCCGCCTCCGCATTTGGGCAGCGGCCACGCCTACAATCCGTATGATCCCGATTTCGCCCCCATCGATGGATCTGCGGAGATTCGCATCGCGGCCATGGGCTCCACGAGCACAACCCCGGCGGGTGGTTCAAGCAGCACAGAAACGACAACGTCCACGGAGATGGACTACGATCTGCTAAGCTCACCGCCGCAGAACAGGCTCCAGACAGTGTCCGGCAGCTGTCCGTGGAAGTGCGAGCTAACCAACGACCGGGGCTACGTGCTGTACTCTGCCCTGGGATCCTTCTACATACCGATGTTCGTGATGCTCTTCTTCTACTGGCGCATCTACCGGGCCGCTGTCCGCACCACGCGTGCCATCAACCAGGGCTTCAAGACCACCAAGGGTGAGTGTGCTACATAGCAGAACCGAATTGAATCCACCACCTCCAGATCATTTGGACACAAATTGTTTGATCCTTGTCACCTTGTCCTTGTCACGGTTTTGTCCTAACTTGTGCGTAGCTAACAGTTTGGTTTTTGATTCTCATCTCTCTTATATTTGTTCGACTTACTACCTACCAATAAGTAACGTACGTATTACGTAATCACGTAGCTAGTTCATTTTATTCAGCTTTAATATCGATTGCTAAACAGTTTCAACTCTCTCGACGTGTAGTCAATAGTGTGACGTCCCATTTTATTTTGGTTACCCTCCAAAGTGTACAGATCTACACTGAGAATTCATGCCAGACACCCTCACGACACCCAGCAATCACCCCAGTTCCCGTTCCATTCCTCATCCTCGTCCTCGTCCCAGTCCTCGCCATCGCCTTCGTCCTCGTCCTAGTCCTCATCTTTGTCCTCGTGGCCTGAAAAACATAAATTGTCGGAGGAGTAAATAACAATTCACTCCGTGTACGTGTGTGTCCCTCGGCGGGGCTCAGCAAACATGAGGAACTGTATAAATCGACGAGAGCAAAAAAATAGACAACTAAATTTACATTCATAAATAACTACTCATATGGCAACACCCACACACAGACATAGCCCTATACACACACACATACACAAACACTTATTGTCGGCATTTTGTTTTTGTGTTTTGCACATAAATAAACATGATAAATAACATTCAAATGGATAAATATATATAAATATACAAATGTATGTATGCATATACACATAGTGAAAGCCCAGGCATTACAGAGTTAACCCCTTACAACCGATTGCCAATAGAGCCATGATCTTGGGCAAGCGAATAAAGTCCCCCTAACGAAAAAATATATATAAATCCTGTACAAAACGAACGACAAATCTTAATTCCCTGTAATTTAAAACCCCTTAACCTTATTCAAATGAATGTCACCATAAATTAGCATCAGAAAGCCCCAACTTATGAATATTAACTAGCCTAGTGTACCCATCTAAGTGAACATATATTCAGTGATTAACGAAACTCCCCAACAACATAATATTGTGAATAATCCCAAAGCGACAACCCTCTCCTTCACTTAAAGTGTTTTATCCGGAATCAAGTTCATTTCCCATGTTCGCATCCCAACCCATGTGACTTTGCTCATTTTAAATTATCACAGCATTATAGCAATCACATGCTCAAAGCAAACGAGGAGTCACGCATCATAATTAGCATTATTTTCCGTGATGGGCAAAAACAAAAATCGATGAGCATCAGCCGAGTGCTGAGGCAGCACATCAAACAAATCGGCTTAGATAAAAAGGCGCTCGGGATTAAATGAGAACGAGAGAGATTTAGCCATTAGAGGCGGCCAGGACATGAAAGCGACCCCACCGACAAAGACAAAAATGTGAATATGGCTTCATCGTTGTCGTGTGTAGAGCTCGTTGTCTTTGGGATTTTCCACTTTCTGGGGTTTTCTCATTTAACCTGGCTCGTGCTCTGGCCTAGCTTGGGTGTCCCACGTCCTTGTCCTGGTCTCTGCGGTGGCGATAATACCCGGGAACAAATTCCGTTTGAAGTTGACGGCGGTGGCGGTGGCGGGCACACATTGAGCTGGCATTGAGTGTTTATTTTAATATGGGCCAGATTTCTTGCACACAGCGCACTTTCTTCCGCGTGATCAGCTCATTGGGCATTGGCCTCTGCTCCATAGCGTTTATCCTTGGAGCCCCCGCATGATAACAAGCAAAGTGCACGCATGAGATGATAATCTGCAGTAACTAACCTAATCACAATCGCAGTTCCAGAACCCACCGACCGGCTGACCGCCTGACTTTCTGGCTTGTCGTTCGGGAAAATCAATAGCCAGCAGGGAGTCAGTCAATGTTCCAGCTAATAGATTGGTCCCCAGTCGGGAAGTAAGCTGTGAAAATTGCATTTTAAAGGTGATTGCATACTTTGGGGCAGTGAGTGCCGCCATATTGAAGGCTAAGTCGATTTCAAAGCTCCCAGGACGAAATGCATTTCGGCCCAGCAGCTTGCCTTGTTCCTTCCTCAATGCCCTGTTATTGTTATTGTTTTCGTTTTCGTTTTCGTGTTGCCACTGTCGTGTCGTTAGTTGGCGCCATTTTGAGCACAAAGCTCAGATTTGCCAGCAGCACACACACACAAACGCAGAAAACTGGCGAAAAACAGCGTGTGGCAGCCTTGAAATATGCTTTGTCTCCACACAATCACACCCACACCCACACCCACACCCATACCCAGAGGAGCTAAGACAGCTGAAGAGAGCTGTTTACCAACACAGCCAAACACACACACAATGGACGGCTCGTTATAGTTTTCCCTGTAAACAGGCGTGTTCAGAATAATAGACTCCTTGCTGAAAGAATATTAATTCTATAGAGCTAAGAAGTCCCAGTTTAACTTAAAAACGTTGTAATTGTGCTCAAAAGCTTAAAAGTCGCCTTATTTCATTTCTAACTTCGATTATTTTAATTGACAAGGTATAATGCATACTAATAAATTGATTTTAATTGAGTTATTTAGGTGGGCCTTATAAAATATGTTGATTTTTATATAGTGTGTTTTAGGGTAATATCATCATAGTCAAAAGCTTAAAACGCAGTGAAGAAATCATTTCCGACCCCATAAAGTATATATATTCTTGATCAGCATCAAAAACTGAATCAATCTAGCCATATCCGGTTGAAAAATACATTTTTGAAATTTTTTCCAAATTTGAAAATTTCATAAGGGGTTACATCATTAAAAATGTCAAAAATTAGCAAAATATTGAATTTCTTAAATTTAAAATCTTAGTATGAAGATTTATTAACCTAGTAAAAACTAGCATAAGACAGCTTTCCAAATTAAATTTGCATGCATTTTTAGCTGAGTTATGAGATTTTTAAACTTGGATTTGACGAAAAAAATTTCATATAAAATCTCAATGAATAGTGATTTAAAGAATGCGACAATTATAAGTTTAGATTTGATTGATTTCCAATTCTATCCTAAAAATGATTAGAAAATTGCAAGGGTATATCAACTTGGGCCTTCCCAAGTGTTGTACTTATAAATAAAATAATGCAAAAGAATATTTGCAATATTTTTACTAACAAAAACCTCATTATTATATACAAAGAATATTTAATGGCATAATTAATTTCTGATACGATACTCGTAGAGTGCCCTCGGTCGTTAATTTGAACACAGCCCAAATACATGGGCCACTTGCCATGTGCGTGCAAAAAGTATGAAAACGCTTCGTGACACAATGCGGGCGGTTCTGATGCTTTTGGCTTAGTTTTTCTTAAATTTTGTTGCTTTTTTTTTTGAGGTAGTCTACCAACTATCCCACGCGCCTTTTCAGTGGCTTTTTGGAGGTAATCAAGTTTCAAGTTCAAAACTTGCCGAGGTTCATGGCGTCGACCTACGCCAGAAGGGCAGTGAAGGGACGACGGAGGCGCTCTGTTATTGTTGGGCTTTAGAAATTTCAAAAGTGTGACCCTGGCCCTGTGTCAAGAGCAGAACGGAACGGCACCGAGTTGCCTGTGGCAGTCAGTCTTGGTGCTCGAGTCTTGAGTCCTGGGCCTTGACTCGCAGCCACAGCCACTTGTCTCCTGTCCCGGCCAGGCCATCGTTCAAAGGTCAGCTGCAACCATAATGCATGTTTTACGGGAAAAAAAAGGACAAATCAATTCTGGCTAATTACACCGCCGAATGCGGAACTATTTAATTATTATTAAATGCCATGCAATCGGGGGCCACCGCAAAGGTGTGGCGAGTGAATCGTGCATTGTAAATGACAAATTAATGGACGAAAATGGCGGAAAATGCTTTGCAATGGAGTGGAAAATGTAAAATGCCAGTAGCATTTTAATGTGAGTGGGGATTGTCCTTACTGGTAGAGAAAAGTTATACATTTATTTAAATCAACAACGCCGCAGGAGGCGAAACAGCCGCCAGGCAGTGGACGCTGGGATTGCGTCTTCATATCTAGGCATATTTACATACATTAGGATATTTTCGTTTATATGTTTGTATACAAATTGTTTGTTTAACTTTCATTTTTTGGGGGCACATATGTATATACATATGTGGGGAAAAAATCAATAGTGGATCCCTTTTTTATTTACACATATGCCGGGTTCCCTTTTGCGTTTTCCTTTCACTCACTCTCGCTTTTCCATGGGCGAACAATATTTGTTCTCAATAGGTTTAATATGGTTTATGCAAATGAAAGTGCCGCCTCTTTCGCTTTAAATTAAGATAGCCCGGGAAGATACGGCGCTGACTGAATATAGATACATATCGGTGTCATCGCCAATATTTATTCAGCTCAGACCTCCGAAATGATGGCCGTCTGACGGGCCAGGGAATAACGAATAACGAATAAATAATGGCATCGTCTATTTATATTCTTTCGGGGTAATTACTTAGGCCAATTCGGGAAAAATATACCTGAAATCGATTGGGACAATTCATTTACGTCTGCCCATAATGCTCCATGGAGTACATTTAGCATTTCAATTTCATGTCCATTCCCTCCCACTTGACCTATCCCACATTGGATAATTAATAGCATTAGTCAGTCCCAAGCCCAGAGGCTGAAAACCGCAATAAAATAAACAAAAACAAACAGCCAATAAGCCCATATAAATTAACAAAGTTGTTTATAGCAATTAATAATCAAACATATTTTGCATTTATAAATTATGTGATTAATATCTATAATACCTAACATTCCCCTGTTCTAACCATGCCTGGTCCTAGTTATAGTCAACCGAAAAAAAGATACAAAACAAAACAATAACAAAGAACATTTGATAAATTCCAATATTTGTACGTTTTTTCTTGTACTAGATTTTTGTACTGGAATGAGCCCTTTTCTCTCTCTATAAATAATAAATTTGTAATTGCAAATGTAGAGCAACATTTTATTATACTCAATTACTCGTAAGTTTATTCCACATTATATCTATCTCAATGTAACAGTTCGTAGTTAGTCAACGCTCTGTGTGAAGTGTCAGCCAACCAATATCTTAACCCAACTCGGGGAGCTGCTCTTCTGCATCTGCTCTTGCGAATGTATCTAACCGATCACCACAAACAACAGCAACCAGCAGCCACCGATCGTCCATCTAACCACATGTCCATGTACTATACAAGCTGAATGTCTTACATCCATGTTCCACACACCCCAAGACCACACTGTCCACCGAATCTCATCCAGAGAGGTGCTCGCGAAGAATCTCCGCCCAATCGCTCCACTCACTAATTACAGGCAGCCCCCGCGAGTCGGGCAACAACCGGGTGGACGAATCCCAGCTCATCCTGCGCATCCATCGAGGACGACCCTGCTCCACGCCCCAGCGCACTCCCCTCTCCGTGCACTCCATGTCCTCGACCCTCAGCGTTAATAGCAACGGGGGCGGCGGCGGCGGCGGTGGAGCAGGAGGTGGTTCAGCCGAGGATCACCTCCAGGGTGGCACTCCAAAGCGTGCCACTTCGATGCGGGTTTGCCGCCAGCGACACGAAAAGGTGGCCATTAAGGTGTCCTTCCCCTCCTCCGAAAACGTCCTGGACGCGGCCCAGCAGCAGCCACCACCCTCGCCCCATTACGCAGTCATCAGCAGCGCCAACGGAAGGCGGGCCTCCTTCAAGACGAGCCTCTTCGACATTGGTGAGACCACCTTCAACCTGGACTCGGCTCCCGCCGGTGACCTGGAGAGCGGTCACTCCAGCAGCTCGTTGGCGGCCAAGAAGCGGGCCGGGAAGCGCAGTGCCAAGATCCAGGTGAAGCGCTTCCGGATGGAGACAAAGGCGGCCAAGACGCTGGCCATTATCGTCGGTGGGTTCATCGTGTGCTGGTTGCCCTTCTTTACGATGTATCTGATCCGGGCCTTCTGCGAGAACTGCATCCAGCCGACGGTATTCTCGGTGCTGTTCTGGCTGGGCTACTGCAACTCGGCCATCAATCCGGTGATCTACGCACTCTTCTCGCACGAGTTCCGCATCGCCTTCAAGCGGATCGTGTGCCGGTGCGTGTGCACCAGGAGTGGCTTCCGCGCCTCGGAGAACTTCCAGATGATTGCAGCGCGGGCCCTGATGGCGCCGGCCACGTTCCACAAGACGATCTCCGGGTGTTCGGACGACGGTGATGGTGTCGACTTTAGCTGACTAATCGGAAGCTACGAACCGAGTCCCTTGCAGCGGACCGCCTCGCTGCCCCAGGAGGGCACAGGATCCGGTTCCGTGTCGGTGTCCGTTTCCGGATCGGGACGCCGGATCCGTCGCGGCGGCTTCTGCAAGGGACGCGTTCTCTAGGGGGCGTTGAAGATGCATTTCTCTCTTTTGATACTTTTGTAATCACCGCCAGAAGCAGGCGCCCGCGCAGGCGCACCCGCATCGCACTTTTCAAAAACTGTCAGTATTCGCATTGAACGACGTGTAACTGTATGGCAATAATTTTCATGTATTTACCTTAGCGCTAAGGCCATGTAAAACTTAACTTATACTTAAACTACACCTATACTTAACCCATGAGATACAGATACGCCACCATGAGATACGCCTGTTAGACATAAGCAGCCCGTTGTTTTCAGTTCCGTTGTGTAAATGTGTGTTAGGCGCTGGGGCAAAGTCACACGCGTTGTTAGTTAATCCCCAGGTATATGTATTATATATATTAATGAATGTATATGTATGTGTGTATAGCAGCTGTGTAAGTCGGCCGCATTTTCAATAAAAGTTAAAAACCAAACAGACAATCGAATGTAAGCTCAAGAAAGCCAAAAACAAGTGCCGACCACGAGAAAATAAATTGGCAAATACCAGGGAGCTCACAGGTTACAGGTCACAGGTCACAGTTTACAGGCATTGACTGCTGGTCAAACAGGTATTGGCAGCTGGTAAACATTCCGAACATCAAATCGGTAGTAGGTAATACTCAACCGACTATTTTTTACACTTAAAAGCAAAGAAACTTAGAATTACTATCACATAAGGGATTCTTCACTGGGTTTCTCTCTTAGGAAAAATATATTATAAGTCGGACTTCACTCTGTTTATCTTATTTAAAGTTTTTCTAATTATCCGGATTTAATTGTATCATAATTTTGGGACCTTATGGTAAATGAATATCATTTTATGTTTTATAAACATTTATTATGTTGAATTCCTTATCATTTAAAATTCAAATTAATTCTTTTTTATGAAATTATTCATATTTATTCTTTAAAAAATACACATTTTCTATTTTTAGGCGGTAAGAAAAAGTAAAATCCGTTTAAATACCTCACTGACTGACTGACTGGCTACTTCATTACTTGGTCTTAGGATCTCTCAGACAAACAGCAATCATCTTTGATAGGACTTTATGGGTCACTCTCCTCTAAGTTGGCTGCCTTCGAGCTTTACGGTCTGCTGCTCATCAGAGTGTCCAAAAGGATATTAAAAGGCTCGAGGAAGACTTAAATGCACAACTTCTTGACTGTGACTTAAAGCCCTCGAGCATGCCTTTGACAATAAGCCAAAGCCAGGTTGTAATACGGTCAGAGCCGAAGCAACAGTGCCAGTGCCAATGGTGGGCGTAAAATACTGCATTATTGTGCCGATTATTCATTACTCGTCGCGGGTCGAGTAATGAAAATGTATTCAGCAGTTAAACGTGCGTATGAGTAATAAATGTAAGGCTGGCGAAGGCAGCCAACATATGCGCAGGACGAGGTACTAAGACTGAGACGAGAGAACGAGGATTATGCAAATGTATGTGTTAATGAAATAAAGTTCGCTTTGAAGGCAGCTTAAAGGCGGCTACGCTTCGCGGAAGGGCGGGAAAACACCAAAACGAGGACTACGACAACGTCGAGTGCTTGTCGCGTTTATGGCTGAACATTTGCATAATTACGCGTTTAATTTGCTAAAGTGCAGGCGCAGGCTGGTGGCCTGGTAAGCTGGCAAAGCAGTCTGGCTCTGTGCCAGTAGGCCAAAGGGCCAAAAGCCGTGAAGTAGGCAACGAATTCCGAGTGCGGGCGCTGCGTGCAACGGGGCGAATAAGCGATGTTCGATAGAAGAGTGAGGGAAGACGACAGGGAAACAAGCAATATACCCGAACAGCACCGCCACCATGTAATACCTTGTATACTGATGTTACTTCTCACCTTTCCTCCCCCCAAACAGGTTCCAAGGGCATCGGTTCACGCTTCGAGGAGCAGCGCCTGACGCTACGCATCCACCGGGGCAGGGGATCGAACCAGCAGGACTCCATGCACAGCAACGGCAGCACCCAGAGCACCACCACCACACTGGGCACCCCCTCGCCGGAGAGGCTCTCCAAGTATGCCACCCGGCGGATGCACCACCACGACAAGATCAAGATCTCCGTGTCCTATCCATCCAGCGAGAACATCAGTGAGCTGGCCGGCCACGGAGACGGCGGGGGTCACGAGCGACGGCCCTCGGGCAATGCGCTCTTCGCCGTGCATTACAACGGCGCCAATGGACGGGAGGCCACTGAGTCGCAGTTGTATCGCCAGCAGCAGCAGCATGGCGGCTCCAGCTCCTGCTACCTGCAGGTGGGCAAGGCCCTGCCGGAGCTGGCCCGGAGGCAGAGCAACACCAGCGAGGGTGGGCACTCTCGACCCGCCAACAAAAAGATGGGTCGACGCAATATCAAGGCGCAGGTGAAGCGCTTCCGCATGGAAACAAAGGCGGCCAAGACGCTGGCCATCATCGTGGGCATGTTCATCTTCTGCTGGTGCCCCTTCTTCACCATGTACATCATCCGGCCGTTTTGCCAGGACTGCATTGACCCGTTGCTCTTCTCGGTGCTCTTCTGGCTGGGCTACTGCAACTCGGCCGTCAATCCGATGATCTACGCCCTGTTCTCCAAGGACTTTCGGTTCGCCTTCAAGCGTATCATCTGCCGCTGCTTCTGCTCCCGCCAGTCTGTCTCGCTGAAGAGTTCCCGTCGCGGGTCAGACATGTCCGCCATCCGGATTCGAGCCCGCACACCCAGCATCACGCCCAGCGCCGCAGCCCACAGCTTTGGGGACGAGAGTGAGCTGCACCACTCCGAGATGAGCAACGACCCCAGGTGACGATCGTTTGGGCCCAGCTCGAGCTCGCAGAGCAGCTTGGGCGGGTTGCGGAAGACGAGCCTCAAGGTGCCCGTCTACGAGATTTGCCACCCGTTGGTCATGGAAACGGCCTGTTACTCATACGTGGAGACTTCCAACGACGCTTCCACCTCCGGAGGAACGGCCGGCGCCGGCGGAGTGGCCAAACGGACGCAATTGTAGCCGCGGGAGCTATTGGCGCTGCGCGGCCTGGGATCCGGGGCGGTCCCATTGCCGGGGCAGCGGCCAAGGCGCATGGTTCGCATCGAGTACAGCGATGCCAGGGTCTAGGATTTCAAAGAGCAAGATAGGCGGAGAGGTGGGAGCACTGAGAAAAAGTTAAATAATGAAATGAGAAAATATAAAAACTAATTGATGTATTTACACTTCTTAACATAAGGCCTTGTTAATGGATTTCAGATAAGGAATTCACTTTCAAGAGTCTTTTGGTTTTTAGTCTCTTCGTTACTATTTAAATTTCAACTCAAAGTAACATTTATAAATTCAAACAAAACATATTAACATCAGATCTCTAATAGTTGATAATGCAAATGTATACAATAGTAGTTCATTTAAATAATTTCAAAAGGTTCTAAATGTTTTTCCAACAATTTAATGAGATTTTTTCCTCAGTGTTTACCTATTTTCCTCTTCCTTACTATTGAAGCTACTCCAGTTGCTGTGAACTTGCCACTGTTAACTGAAACTATCCTTGGACTCGAAAGGAGACAGGAGGTGGTATACCAAACATTGTACATAGACGTAGCCTAAGATTGCCAGAGTGGCGAGCAGAGAGTGTACATATATACATAGGAGTCTAGCTAGGATATCGCTGGCATTTGAGAGTTGTACCTTTAACTTCCGCATGAATATTAATATCTGGTTGTTACGACTAAGCAGAAACCAAATCGTTGCTAATCGCAAATAAAACTTACCCAGTGCTAAAGACTAGCATAGAAAAATTCGAAAATAACAAAGTGTTAATGTTGTACTCTCAGCTCGAAGAGATTATCCTGAGAAATATCTGTGTCATACATGTTAAATGCAATAAACGAACCCCCGGCCTACCCCATAGTGTACGCCCAAGGGCATCCGCAAATACTATATACATACAAATATACGATCCTCGAGTTAAACGTTTTGTGTGCTACAAATAAAGGAAGTTTCGTTTATTCGGCAAACTTAAGGAGCGACTGTTTCTCTGTTTCTGCCAGGCAAGCAAGTGGGTTTCCTTTGAGCTTTCTAGCGCTCTCCCCGACATCCGGCTAAGCGGACAACGGGGCTTTTAATTAAGCGGAAGTACTCGGAGGGGGCGCTACAAAGTCACAAGGTGAGTGCGATAAAAGAGTTGCAGCATAACGAAAGTGCTGAGCTGCGAGCTGCGAGCTGCTAGCTGAGAAGGCCAAATTAAAAGCTGGAACGCCCGCGGCACTTCCGCCAACTGAATTAAAGGCTGAAGTGGGTACAGCACGGAACATAACTGGATGGCAGCGAGTCCAAGTGTGTGTATACCGAAAACACATTCCCTTTGATTGCTCCCTCGCGCGGCCACATAAAATAGACAACAGAAAATGAGTCGGGCAACTAATTTATGCCCCGAATGGAGATTCCGCCTAACTAGGCAACGTTGCCGCCACTCCCCGAGAAATCCAATTTATTTGCCTCGCTTTCCACAACAAGAAAGTGTTTTATTTGATGGAAATCAATTGATAAAACGCATTAACTTGGAGCTTAAGTTTCGGGGCACCATCCCCATAAAATCGGCAGCTGGGAGGAACCGTCACGGCCAGATAGCGCGGCGAACACCCAAAGTTTGGCTATTAACCTTAACAAGATATTCCGAGTTCCTTAACAGCGCTTGGCTCGGTTGGTAAGATTCATTCGGCAGTCTTAATTAATCAAATTGAATTTAATTTTCGACAGCGTTCCCCTTTTTCAAGAGTTCCTCCTAGGGAAAACAATTTGAGCATGCACCTTGGAATTCAGGCGATTTGCCAAAGTTTGCCATGAAATAGCCATGTATACATGGCAAATTTGCATAAATGTGGCAAAAAGTTTGCGGCCCGGAGGCAGGTAGTTGATAATTGGGCCAGCAAGTGGGAGAAACAAACCGAGGGGTAGACGGCATAATATACAAAACTTTCTGATTTCATTATGCCAGCCATACATAAACAGAGCACAAAACAACCAGTTGAGACCCCTTTAAGGACTGCGCACGTTGGGTGCTCAGCCTTGGTTAGAACCATTTAGGAGGCCCAGAGCTGACCGAGATGGCCTGGTGGCAGTGAAGCGTACGCCAAATGGTTGGCTGACCGGCTGACCAGCTGTCTGAGTGCTTTCGGCTTCGCATCCATGTTTGCACTTCAAGGTGCAGGATAGATGGACGCGCCAGCAGACACAGACACAGAAGCCATCGATGCTAGAGGCGGAATGGTTTTACCTATCTTCCCCCTCGAAACAACAATCGATTGAGCAAACATCCCTACAATCCCTTACCAAAACAACAAATTCTAGGAGAAACTGTGGGAAGGCTCTTTAAGCGAATGGGAGAGAAGTGGATTCGGTATTTAATCGATTTGATTTTTGCGTTACCTGATTTTTAAAATGTCTGTCAAACTTGTCTATATTTTTGAGCTTGAGCTCC